GCGTGCGTGCGTGCGTGTGTGTCTGTGTGTGCGCGCATGTGATGTGGTGTGACGCGGTGTAGCGTGGTGGTGGTGGGCGGGGTAGTGCGGTGGTGGTGGCGGTGCGCGGTGTTGGTGCGCGTGCGTGCGTGCGTGCGTTGGTGGGTGGAAGTGGCGGTGGGTGTGCGTGCGGCGGGGCGGGGCGTGGTGCGGCGCGGTGGTGGCGGGCGGATGGGCGCGGGAGAAAGAGGCCCGCGCTGGGGCGAGAACGCCATCCTGAACGACGGAGGCAAAACATCGATCCGAAAATGAGGCCCACGCTGCAGCGGGAGCACGATTCGGAACGATTCGGGAGCAGAAATGAGGCCGGCGCCTCAGCGAGAGCAGCATTTTGAAAACAAACGCAGGCGATAACCCAACTCCAGGGAATCGTGTGTGTAAATATCAGTACGCGGTGGGGGGGGGCGAAGACGCAAAAGACGTCATCAGGGGAAGAGGGAGAGTAGTATTCATATTGAGTAATTTTGGAGGAGGAGGGGGAGGAGGAGGAGGGGAGGAGGGGAGGAGGAGGAGGAGAGGATTAGAGGATGAGGAGGAGGAGGAGGAGGAGGAGGAGGAGGAGGAGGAGGAGGAGGAGGAGGAGGAGGAGGGGAGGGAGGAGAGGGGGAGAGGAGGAGGAGGAGGAGGAGGAGGAGAGGAGGAGGAGAGGAGGAGGAAAAGGAGGGCGGAGGAGGCGGGGAGAGGAGGAGGAGGAGGAGGAGGAGGAGGAGGAGGAGGAGGAGGAGGAGAGAGGCGGAGAGGAGGGGGAGGAGAAGGAGGAGGAGGAGGAGGAGGCGGAGGAGGAGAAGGAGGAGAGGAGGAGGAGAGGGAGGGGAGGAGGAGGAGGGGGAGGAGGAGGAGGAGGAGGAGGAGGAGGAAGAGGAGGAGGAGGAGGAGGAGGTGGAGGGGGTTGAAGACGAGGAGGAGACTTCGCTTTTGCAAGGAATTGGAAAGATTGGAGGGCCCTGCCCAGATTGGGTAGACGGTGCGCTCTATCTATTCGGCCCGTTTCTTCGTTAAGGAAAACCCCACTGGCCACTGGCACCTCTGCCGAGAGACGGCAGAACGCTGGAATCGCACAGGGGCGCCCATTTTCTTTATCCTTATTCATGTCAGTCCAGACCGACACGCTGCACTACACGTTCTATTCGCTACGCTTGGAAGGCCAGCCCGGATAATTACGTGGTGACCTGGGATGTTCTCTACGCTGGCGACGCATTGTTTCAATCGCAGCACCCAGCACCAATCCAACCTCCAGAACAGATTGAACGCTGTCGTTGAGTAGGGGCGCAATTGTGGTTTGGAGCTTAAATAGGGGAAAACAGCGCAGTGCAAATCTCCACTGTTTACCACAAAGTTTTGGCGCCGAGTGGTGGTGATCTTTGGACTGTCCGGGGCGCAGTATACTTGAGAGGGTTATTTACATGCGGTGGGTAAGCGTTCCCTCGAGCTATGCAGAAGACTTGGAGAGGCAAGCAACATCTCCAAAGAACTTGGCAAACTTTGGTCGCACGCATCTCTTGGATGGAGACTAAAAGTGAAGTCCAACGACAGCGTCGTTATGAACAAGCTATGGTACTCATTGGAGTTATTTGTTCGTTAAAGCCAGACAGATGTTGGTTCGATTCTTTTTATTTCATAAGTTTGCGACGCATTCGTAAAAAGATCACAGTCGTTCGTATCACGGGTCAGCAACGCAAGGGTTCTTGACAAGACTGGGGCGAAATGGCTTTCGCAAATTGTGGCTAGTAGGCAAATTACGCTGTAGGAGAGAAGAACTGTACATGGACCTCCGGATTTGGTCATGGCGAGTTGTTCGCAACGACGATCGGTCGACGAGAAATTGGACTAGCAAGCGCATGCACGGACGACCGAGACAAGAATGGGCATCTTCGGTCGCAACATGTTTGAACATATCTATCGTCTTCATCCTCTGTCATCATCGGTCGTTGTCGTCTGAGGATACGGCGTTTGGCCACACCTCTGTGCTTCGAGGGCCGCCTGTCCTCTGGTTGCAGTGTTTGGCCGTGTCCGGTCTTTTTCCTGCCAGCGCGTCCACTTGGACACATTTTGCCAGCTTGTCTGCTGATGCTGATACTAACGATGTTGACGGTGATGATGATGTTGGTCACGCTGATGCTGATGATGATGTTTTGCGAAGCTGGCGATGCTGGTGATGCTGTTGATGCTGTTGGTGATGATGCTGATGATGATAATGATGATGATCATGGTGGTGGCGCTGGTGGTGATTGTGGTGGTGATGCTGACGATGATGACGACGACGATGATGATGACGATGATGATGACGATGATGATGATGATGATGATGATGCTGATGATGATGATGATAAGGGTGATGAGAAAGATGATGCTGATGATGGAGTCGATGATACATATGGTTGCAAGGGAAGTGCTGGCATTGACGATGACAACGGCTGTGATGATGATGATGGTGGTCGCTGAGATGGAGACACTAACGACGATAATGATTTTACTGATGCTGATACTGATGACGATGACGCTGATGGTACATGTGACGATGACTGTATGACGAAAGGCGATGATGACGATGATGATGCTGCTGATGATGATGAGTATGATGATGATGGTGGTAATGATGATGCTGATGATGATCATGATGATGATGATGATGATGATGATGATGATGCTGACTATGACGATGATGATGGTGACGATTATGATGATGGTGGTGATGGTGATGCTGATGGTGATGGTGTTGGTTGTCGTGATGGTGTTGACGATGGCGCTGCTGTTAGTGATGGTGATGGTAATGGCAACAATGATAATGATGATTGTGATGAGGATGGTGATGATGATGGTGGTGCTGATGATGATGTTCATCATGATGATGACCATGATGGTGACGATGCTTGTGGTGACGATGATGATGACGCTGGTACGATGATGATGATGGTGATGATGATGATGGTGATGCTGCTGATGATTATGCTAATGATACTGATGGTGATGATGATGATGATGATTATGCTGCTGCTGATGATGCTGATGATGGTAGTGATGCTGATGTTGACAAAGATGATGATTATGATGAGGATGCTGCTGCTGATGATGGTGATGATGCTGCTTCTGATGATGATGAGGATGATGATTATGATGACGATGACGATGACGATGACGATGATGAAGTTGACGAGGAGGAGGAGGAAGAGGAGGAAGAACATGATGAGAAGGGGGCAAGCGGAGGAGAGAGAGGAGAATGGGGATGAAGAAGAGGGAAAGGGACATGGACTTGACTGGTGAAAGGGATTGAGAAGGGGGTTGGGTGAGGGGGAGGATTGGGGGGAGGAGGGGGAGGAGAGGGAGGAGCAGAATTGGGGGGGAGGTAAGGGGTAGGGAGGCATCGTTGGAGGGATCCAGGTGGGGCGTGCGCTGATTCCCCTCCCCCCCCTTCCTCGCCGCCCCCCCCAGTCCGGAGAGGGTTCTGGGGTGCGTCGCACGCCCCCCACCACCGCGCCCACACCCCTCTCCCTCTTCATCCGCTTCTATCTTTTCCTCGGCCCTCCCATCCCCCCCCCTCCAAGCCGGTCGCCGAAGTGTCTGAACTCCCGCTGCGACATCTGCAGCTGAAGTTGTGATTGCAGGAGTTTGTGGACGCGGAAGCTGCCGCGCAAGGTGCAATCTTCTCCTCGTCCTCTCCTTTTTACCGTCAACGCCGTGCGGGCAAGCGTCCTCCTCCGCCCCCTCCCCCTCCCCCTCCTCCTCCTGGTTCTCCTGCTGCTCCTCCTCCTCCTCCTCGTCCTCCTCCTCCTTTTTTTTCCTCCTCCTCCCCCTCCTCCCGTAGCCATGTTGACTCGGGCAATTCTGGCTCACGATGTTGGCAACTGGGGGGTTCCGCGCCTCCGTGCCAAAAGGGATACCGCTGTCACCGCGGCAAGACTCCCGCGGCCGCGCCCAGCCACCGTTTGCTGCGCGCGCACCCGCACATGCCTGGGACAGATGGCGGATGCCCCAAGCGCAACGGAGCGAAGAAGAAGAGACCCTTGGTCCACGCCGTGCTGCTGTTGGTGCAGGTGACGAGGGTCGCGGGGAGAATGGTGTGGGTACGAGAGACACGACGATTGGTCTCGCTCGAGCCGCGCCCTCAGTGACGACGATGACCGACTGGATCCGGAGATCTGGGACGCACATGTCAGAGGACTGACTCATCGATAAAGAGCTCGGTGCGCCCTGTCATGGCAGCGATCAAAGCAGTGGAAGAAGCGGTCAAGTCGGCGCCAAATACTTGCAACGCTGGTGCATTGGAGACACGGTGTCAAGCGCAGCTGAATTCTCCCCCAACCAAGTTGGCAGCCATCGGCGGGAGGACCGACACTATTGCTGCAGAGCTGGCCGACATGCGCACAGCCATGGACGAGATGCGGCGTGTGCTTGCCCTCGCCACCAGAGCGCCGCCTCTGCCCAAGCCTCCCAGTGCAGGATTCCAACGCGGAATCGGCGCCACCATTTTCAAGATCGTGGCGCCCACCATTGTCAAGAAGACTGACATCGTGGCCTCCGTGGGCAAGTGGCTCAATGACGCGTCAATTGACGACTATACTGTGGTTGGGGGAGAGCAGGATCAGATTTTCACCGTGCCGTGCACAGGTGCAATCGCAGTCGCTGATCGCCGCGTCGTTCAGGCTCTCGGCGCCTTGCGTCTCCCTGGCAAGGGGCAATGGATGCGATTTCCTGTTCCAGCGGCACAGGGGAGATCTACGCAGTTGCATGTTGGTCCTGACA